TGCCAAGGCATTTTTTGTGTGCTTTTGTGCGAGCATGTGTCTGCATGTCTCATGTCATATATATGCACACAGATGGAGTGTCTGTTTGTGTGCATGTGCCTATATATGCCGGGGCGTTCCTACGTTTGTTTGCACATGCATGCATGTGAACCTCCCCCTATGCCTGTGTCTCTGTATATATATCTGTGTGTTTGTATATCTGCATGTACGCGTGTGCGTGCACTCATCGTTTGGCTTACTATTGCGCCGGTGTCTCGCTGCACTCCCATTGCTGCGGCAGGTGTCCATCGCCGTTTCACCTAGAGCCACTGTATGTGTGAGTGTGTATTCCAGAATACAATATCTATCACCTCCCGTACACGCCCTTTGTTTCTCCTGTGGCACTCGTGCCCCTTTTCACACTGCCATCCTATGCCCGGGCTATGCACGCCGTTTGTGTACTTTCATATCCACTTCGATGCCTGTAACATACATATATAGCATACGCTATATCCGCCTGTGCCGTCCGTTTGCTCTCACAAGGCACTCTCGCTAAAGGAGTGTCGAGACCGTTCTACCCTTCCCAATGAACGCAACTCGTGTTATTTGCATGAACATGTAAGCTCATCACGGGGATAGGCTCAAAGTCGACCCCTCATGCGTGCGCACATGCATGCTGGTCTTTGTTGCGTGATGTTGCTTGCGGCCGTGCCTATCACACCGTCTCTTTGTAGTTACCATAATCCATGTATGCATTTTTCGAAACACTATCCATTTACCTACCCCTGTACGTTCAATTGACTGCTCATCCGTACACGTGTGTACTTTCTATCCCATCTCATCACACGTAGGGTGTATGATGATCTCACCTACCCCTGTACATTCAATTGACTGCTCATTCGTACACGTGTGTACTTTCGATCCCATCTCATCACACGTAGGGTGTACGATGATGTGGTGCCCGTATTAGCCGAATGGAAGGCTAACGGAGTAGACGCGTACATATACTCATCTGGTAGCATTGCGGCGCAGAAACTGCTGTTCCAATACTCTGAGAAAGGGGACATACTGCCGTACTTCAGGTACCGGGAGTCTGCTACACCTCACATTCGATGCGTTGCCCTGACCGATTTAGGGGTTTAGGATTTAGGGTTTTAGTGTCCCTCCGCTAGTTAGTAGAGTATACTGTGGTATTATGGATATGTGTGATATCCGTATGTGTGTATGTATGTTTGTATTTATTTATAAATCGGTTGTTGAGTGGGCTTCCCCTAGTAACCCACATATATGTATGTATTTGTCATGTTGTAGAAGACCAGAGCATTGTAACAATACACGAAGTCGTGTTCCCAGCACATATGATCGATCAGAGGTCAGATGGCGCTTGCACCACTGGCCAATGAATTGAGCGCCCTGTTCATCCGTTGCCAAGCGTCCCACACTCATCGTCCCGTCCTAACTCATTCTACCTACCTTTGCTTATTACCTGGTGTTTCTGACCTCACATGATTCGATATACTATTCTGAAGCATGTGCACTCGCTTTTAATCTCATATCACCACATAGTGGTCATTTCGATACAACAATTGGTACCAAGCTCGAGCCATCATCCTATACAACCATCGCGAAGGAGATAGGTGTTTCCTCGCCTGCTCGGATCATGTTCTGCACTGACAATATAGCGGAGGCTGAGGCTGCGCGGAATGCGGGTAAGAATTAATATATCCGTACATATATATATCTATCTATATATATATATATATGTATGTATGTATGTATGTATGTATGTATGTATGTGTATGTATGTATGTATGTATGTATATATGTATATATGTGCGTATATATATATATATATGTATGTATTTATATTTATATATATTTATATATATATATATATATATGTATGTATATATATATATATATATATATATTATCACCAACCTACTACTATTG